GAAAGTGCTCTAGGGATCCCAGATGCCTGCAAAGTGCTCTCGTTTTGTTTTCACATTTCAGATGTTAATTATAAGGAAGAGAATTAGGCATATAAAACAAATTACATTGGCAGTGTTTCCTTCACTTGTGCACAACAGGGCCCAGGCACCCCTAATGAGATGTGACTACAGATCATCGTGCTTCCTGCAAACAGCCAATTGCTTCTAATATAGCAGAGTCTTCCTTGTGTTGCCTGAGAATTAGCCACAGGTGTAGCATTTGACTTTGGGGAACATCACCAGCCCAAGGAAGTGTGGTTAGGTCAACAGCAGGAAGAAAGGGGAAAGAAAGAGAGTAGCAGATACCCAAGGCTTTAGAGCAGTGGTTCTCAGCCTGGGCTGCACATCAGAATCACCTGGGAATCTTTTTAAAATCCTGATTTCTGGGCCTCATCCTCCGGAAATTCTGTTTCTTTGTTATGGGGTGGGACCACAACCTTTGGCAACCTATAGAATACGTGTACCGAAATATTTGTGTTCTTTTAGAGCACAAATCCTCAACAGCACTGAGAGCAGCACAGAGAAATTGACTTATTGGTAAACAAAAAGGAGAAACATGATATTGAAACTGAGGGGTATAGAGAAGAGGTGTGATTCTGGGGGCCAACCAGCACTAATGGTTATGGGATCTTGAGCTTCAGTTTCTTCATCTGTAAAGTGAACGGGTTGCACTAGAGTTTTCTAAAGTTATTCAAGCTCGAGCACTCTGGGTTTCTCATTTCCCATCCCCAAGATTCTGTATTGAAATTTCTAACTGTGAGACACTAGAATTGAAACAAAAGGCAAGCTTTTTTGAAAAAAAAAAAAAAAAACAAAACAAAAAAAAAACAATGGGGCAGTCCCAGAGAAATGATGGTCATTGGATGTTCAACTTTGTTTAGGGATAGCAATGTATCTATCTATAGAAATAGACTTTTAAGGAACAACAAAACAATTCATGAGCTAAGTCAAATGCACAGTTCATTTTAAAACAACTGGTTAGCAACTCATGGCTACATATTAGTTTGGATGAATCAAGCTACATCCTGCAAAACCATGTGTGCATGTAGATACAAACCATGTTCTGAGGACTGGAAGTGTTCTGTGATCTCTAAGTATGGATGCAATGGAGAAGAGGGGAGATCTATGGCTTAAAAAGCTTTGGAACTGCTGAATCCAAGTTAGGTTTCTTCACAATAGGATCCTCTGAGCATTTATCATGCCAGTGGGCTTTGCAACTTTCCTGGGACTACAGTTTGCAGCATCTGATCTTATTTGACTTTGGAACCCCTTTTTTATTGGCATGCCAACAAGTCATGGAATACCAGTGTTCTGCAGAATTGGTTTGAGAAATCATATGCTATGCAAATTAGAACAGTTTATTTCAAGATTTCGCCTGAAAGTAGTATAAACCAAACAAGCTTAGAAGAAAAAAATAAATTGTAAAAAAGGGAAAATGTGGACTTTGATAAATTTCCCTAGTGATAGAATTCAAATCAATATATGAAAGAATTTGACATTAAGAATCAGAATAATTATTAAATCAGATTAAGTATAATAAAATGCTTTCTCATAAGTGGCAAGTGCAAAACCAATGATATATTAAATAAATTTGATTTATTTAAAAGAAGCATTATTTTATTTTGCCCTTAGAAAGTTTTCAAGTTGTATGATTTTGGGGGATATAGAAAAGATAGATGATTGATAGCAATTTTATTTTTCCATTTTAGTAGCTGGTAAATAAAAATCTATTAACCTAAACGAGGAAACAGTAGTGGGTAAATTTCTAAGTGTTATGAAGGGAATTGTGTGTATTGTTCTTGCTGTTATTAATATGAGTTGAGTATGATATATCCAACAAAAATCCATTCTATTAATGACCATTAAATAAGGCTCCTATGGAATAAGGACAACCCCTGGAAAATAGTTAGCAAGACTTTAATAAAGGTGTAAGAATCAGAGTTCCCAGAATAAGGATTTTTTTATGTGGGTGGTAAATTATTTTTCCTCAAAGTCATGAGGTATGTATGTCCATCAATAAAACAGATACCCTGGGAATAAATTTTAAGGTGAGTAAAATATTTCATTCTGACCATAAAAGATTTCTTGTACTTATTTGTTAGAAATACCATACAAAACTCAATTTATTATTTTTTATTTTGGTAAACAATAATGTCTTTGTTCCTCTTTCTTCTTCCCTTTCCCATTTTACTCAGGACCCATTATTAGTGATGTCAAAAGATGGCAGGAAGGAGAAAAAAGAATTTTAAAATATAATGGAATAATTTATCAGAAGGAATACTTCCTGAATGCCCTGTAATTTCGCTCTCAAGTAGGAATTTTAAAACTTCAGTGAGTGAATCTCTGTCTCCTGGAGAAAGGTGGTTTCTCTTCCTTAGTTAGTCAGAGCTCCCGTCTGCCTTACACCAGACTATTCCTCATCGTAACTGCAACTGTTATGCTTCTAGTTGAAAAGACACTGGATTTATGTTGTACAGCATCTGCAAATGGGACAATGGAGTGTAAAGTTTGATTGATTGGATTCACAGGAAGCCTTCTGAATGCCACATGAGGCTTGTGGCTAGTGTTCCCCAGTCTCCCCAGCAAGTTGCAGCTGTGGGGATAGGATGGGCCACCTTGGGCGGGTTGCATTTCTCAACCTCATTCAGCTTAGTTGTGGTGACATAGGCCAGGGGCACCTCAAGCTGTTTGGAGCTGTGCATTAACCACAAATGACAGACACTGTTGCCACCAGCTTCTGTTTCCCACCAGCAGAATCTTAATCACCCTTCTACTCCAGAAGAGACCACAGAGGTGAGGCATTACTTGTATTTCATATTATAATGAAAGGATGGTTACATGCCAGCAGTATATTAAAACCATAAATACTATAAAAGATGATTTTGCACGCACTGTTTTCTCAGAGAAATCTTTTATTTTGCCCCAGACTAGGTGAGGACCTTTGTTATATAATGCCCTGAATTCATCCTTTGTGGCACTCACAGCTGTTGTCATGAATTAATCCATTATTCGAGGAATTACTTGTTTCTTACTGGTCCTCAAATATTGAATTTTAATTCCATAAGTATACAGATCTGTCTTTCTCCCCAGCATCCAGGGCAAAATTTGGCCATAGCCCTTCCCTTCCCTACCTTTCTCTCCCCTTCTCTATCCTCCCCCCTTTTATTCACGAATAATTTAGTCCTAAAGCCATTAAGTGGGGCAGAATGGGGTAGATATCCATGGTTGAAAGGGGCGAGAGTGTAAAGTACCAGACCTGCATGTCAGAGCCTCACCAGGGAGAGGAGGGCATTCATGTCCTCATACAACCAAAGGATGGACTTATTTGACATGTGTCCCAGGAAATTCTTGGCCTATTCAGCCACTTTCATAAGGGGAGAGAGGGCCATCAAATTATGAGTGCAATTAGACAAAACATCTGTTAGATATAATTTTTTCATCGTTTCATCCAGTTCTTGTGGCATTGTAGAGACAGATTACTAGTTAATTTAGTTTGATGGCCAGTAGTGTCTATGTTAATTGAATTTTTGACTGGATATTTGGGAGTCATAAAATATAAATGTATATTTGTGTGCTTGTAGAAAGATTATAGTCTTTGAAATCAGACACATTCTTCTGTAAACCTCAGTTTCCTCATTCATAAAATAGTATTGATGATAAATTTGCTTATGGAGTTGTAGTGATTATATAAAATAATCTGCCCATATTCATTCATTGTAGACTCTTGACATAAGATGCTCAAAGATATGGGTGCCACATAAATTTTTGAGCATAAGTGATATATTGAGAGAATATGAACAACCTTAATGATATTAATGTATCTGTGATGTTTATTGGTGACAAAGACACAGCTACTACTAATAAAACTGTGGTCTGTTTCCTACATTCCCAAACAAAGAAAATGCTTAATTTTAGTGAAGTTTGTGAGTATAATAATGCTAACCTTTTCTCATCTAAGTTCACAGATCTCTGAATCCTATCCTCTAATTTCTCCATGGAGTCCTATCCTACTCTAAGCCCCACTCTAAGATAACATCAACTATAGCAATCTTTCTATTCCTCTCACTTTCTCTGAAAGTAAGTAGAGTCTCTACATGATAGCTGTGGAACTTTCTGCCCTCTTTCATCTGGGGATTCTTAAAACAATGTTTATAGCCACCTGCATGCCCTTCTATCATATATTTGATGTGCTGTGACCTAGAGGAACCTGTGTGTGCTTAAACTGGAGAAACCTTTCAAATGTCTAAAATATAGTTCCTCTGCTTGCTTATTGAGGATATGTGTGAGCCCAGCATCTCTTACATTTTCTAATTTCCATCACTGACCATGTTGGCTAGGCTTGCTTCTAAGGAAACTAATGTAGCCATAGCCACTTGAGGTAAAAATATAAAATGAGCTTCCTTGCCTTCAGCAAGTTATTTGTCCTCTGAACTTTATTTATAAACACCCCAACAGTTAAGGCATCTGTTTCTTCATGTTAATTTCACTGGCTTTGGTCTTCCCAGCAGGGAAGGAGAGTTTCAACCTATGGGTAGGCCAGGTGAGAGAAGTAGCATGAGAGCTAGGCTGGGAAAGAAAAGCTCGCCACAGGCCCCATGGAACAGGAAGATGGAAATGCGGGGGGGGGGGGGGAGGAAAACTGCAAAGCCCTGAAATGAGAACAGGCATTATTGTGCCTATTATCAGGATGCAGAAACCAATGAGGTGGAGAAATGAAGAATCTAGAAAGAAAATAAAAGCCCAGTTACTATGTACTATGTGTGTGTGGGGGGGGGGGGGGAGGGCGGGGGAGTAAGCTGCAAAAGTTGGAATAAATGTCTTCTTGTTTTAGTCATGTTAAGGATAAATAATGAAATAATGTGTGGCTTTTTCTGCTTGGAAACTGGCCAGTCATGTCAACTCAGAAGAAAGTAAGAAAAAATACAGACCTTGCAACTTTGTGCTTACTGTTGTTGTCCTAGCCGTTTCTGTGTCCACTTGTCCACTTGTCCACTTGCTGAGCATATCCCAAACTCCCTCATGCCTCTTTTGGAGGTGAACTGTGAAATAAACTAGGTCACTTGGAGTTGAAAACAAAGAAAGGAGAGAAGAAGAAGAAGTTTTCTGCTGGCTTTTGAGGTGAGCTGAAAATCATCAATGAGATGCCTGTGTAAGGACTTCCCGAATGGCTCCTTCATGTGTCACATTAACAGTGGAAATTGTTTACTGAGTGAGCAGAGAGGGATGTTTGCTGGTAGGAGAGGAAAAAGATGGTGTATTAGACAGCTTTGATATTTGACTAAGGAACGGATTTCCCCCCTCAGGCACCAAGAGCTAGTAGCAGTTCCAGGTGCCTGGTTAGAAAAGGACAGAATGATGAGATAATGATTCATTTAAAATGCAGATGGACTCCACAATGATCAAATGAGTAATAATGAAAGCCATAAGCCTTCTTGGCAGAAAAGGAATTACACTAAAGGCTTAGGACCTATCAGGCTAGTTTTCTTTTGTAGTTTGGCTCAAATCTACAATATAGTCAAATTTCAGGTCTTTAGGAATGGCAGTGTGCTTATCTGTGAGATAAACTTTCCCTAACAATAAGTTACAGCTACACTCAGTCAATGACAATACTGTGGGCCTTCTGTGATAGACAAATGGGGGGGGGGAGATTCTGTGCCCCTCACAGTGGGATCTTGCATCTACTTCTGTTTCTTTAAATAATGCTGTTCTCAAATCAGGGAAGTTTTCTGACATTGTTTCTTTGAATATGTTGTCTAGCCCTTGCTCTTCTTCTTGTCCTTCTGGCACCCCTATTATACGTATGTTGCTTCGATTCATGTTGTCCCAAAGCTCCCTCAGGCTCTCCTCCTGTCTTTTGATTTTTTTCTCCAATTGCAGTTCAGATTGGGTGTGCTTTGTTTCCCTGTCTTCTAATTTGTTAATTCGGTCCTCCGCTTCTCCTAGTCTACTGTTGAAAGCTTCCATAGTGGTGTTTTTTTTTTTTATTGTATCTATATCACTCTTTATTTCCTCCTGATTCTTACATAGGTTGATTTTCTCATCTGGTTTATGAACTGTATGACCCTTATTCTGAATTCTTTTTCTTCCAGAAAAATAAAACACCTCTTTTGCTCATTTTTTAATTGGGTTATTTGTCTTCCTGGAGTGAAGTTATTGTTTTTTGAGGGTTCTTTTTTTTTGGAGTTCTTGTTTTTGAGTTCTCACCTCAACTATGTGTATATGTAGCAGATGGATCTCATGGTTATGAAGGCTGAGAAGGCCCAAATGATGCAAAGCTAGGGACTGAATCCAAGAATACCTATCCAGCAAGGCTATCATTCAGAATTGAAGGGGAAATAAGGAGCTTCACAGACAAAAACGGGTAAGGGAGTTTATCACTACCAAGCCAGCAATGCAAGAAATGCTAAAGGGACTGGTGTAAAAAAGAAGTAATAAAAAGGGAAGAAGGAACGCAGGAACAAAAAATAAAAATGGCTACAAGCAAGTACCTATCAAAAATAACTTTAAACGTAAATGGATTAAATGCTCCAATCAAAAGAAATTGAGTGGCTGAATGAATAAAAAAACATGACCCATACATATGCTGTCTACAAGAGACACACCTCAAAACAAGGGACTCACACAGTCTGAAAGTGAAGGGATGGAAAAATATATTTCAGGCAAATGGAAATGAAAAAAAAGCTGGGGTAGCAATACTTATATCTGACAAAATAGACCTCAAAGTGAAGGCCATAACAAGAGATAAGGAAGGCCACTTCACAATACTAAAGGGAGCAATTCAACAAGAGGATATAACCCTGATAAACATATATGCACCCAATGCAGGAGCACCCAAATACATAAAAAAACCACACTTCTGGAAGGTACCAAGGGAGAGGTCGACAGCAATATGATCATAGTAGGGGACTTTAATACCTACTGACATCACTGGATAAATCCTCTAGACCAGCAGTTGCCAACTGGTAGTCCGCAGATCTCGGCTGGTCTGTGAGGTCCGAAAGATTGGTGATCAGTGCTCTAGCAAAAAGTCAGCAAAAAAACAGCAATCCTAAATGATTCACTAGGCCAGATGGACTTAACTGACATCTTCAGAACATTTAACCCCAAAGCTACAGAATATATATTCTTCTCAAGTGCACATGGGACATTTTCAAAGATAGACCACATATTAAGTCACAGGCAAAGTCTCTCCAAATTCAAGAATATTAAAATCATATCAAGCATCTTCTCAGACCACAATGGCATAATATTAGAAATCAACTACAATGCAGAAAAAGCATGTGACAAAATCCAACACCCTTTCTTGATAAAAACCCTCAGCAAAGTGGGCATAAAGGGATCATACCTCAACATAATAAAAGCCTTATATGAAAAAACTACAGCCAACATCATACTCAATGGGCAAAAACTAAAACCATTTTACATAAGAACAGGAATGAGACAGGGATGCTCACTTTCACCACTCCTGTTCAACATAGTACTAGAAGTGCTAGCCATAGCAATTAGACAAGAAGAAGAAATAAAAGGTATCTAAATTAAAAAAGAAGATGTAAAACTGTCATTATTCACAGATGACATGATACTGTACATAGAAAACCCTAAGGACCCATAAATAAATTATTAGACTTAATAAATGAATTCGGCAATGTAGCAGGATACAAAATTAATGCCAAGAAATCTATGGCATTTCTATACACCAGTAGTGACCTTACAGAGAGACTAAAAAAGCAATCCCATTTACCATCACACAAAAAAATTAAGATACATAGGAATAAACTTAACTAAGGAGTTAAAAGACCTGGACTCAAAAACTACAGGACATTCAAAGAAGAGATAGAGGAAGACATAAACAGATGGAAGAACATAGCATGCTCATGGATTGGTAGAATCAACATCATTAAAATGTCCATACTACCCAAAGCAATCTATAGATTCAATGCAATCCACATTAAAATACCAATGGCATACTAGAACAAACTCTCCCAAAATTCATCTGGAATAAAAAAAGACCCCAAATAGATGCAGCAATCTCGAGTAAGAAGAGCAGAGCTGGAGGATCACAATACCAGATATCAAGCTACACTACAAAGCCATGGTTCTCAAAACTGCCTGGTACTGGCACAAGTACAGACATATAGACCAATGGAACAGAATGGAGAACCCAGAAAATGACCCAAGCCAATACACACAACTAATATTTGACAAAGGAGGCAAGAGCATACAATGGAGTCAAGACATTCTCTTCAATAAATGGTGTTGGGAAAATTTGACAGATACATGCAAAAAAAAAAAAAAAATGAAACTAGACCACCAACTTACACCATACACAAAAATAAACTCAAAATGGCTAAAGGACTTAAACGTAAGATGGGAAACCATAAAAATCCTTGAAGAAACCACAGGCAGCAGAATAGCAGACATTTTTTGTAGGAATATCTTTACCAATACAATTCCTAGAGCAATGGAAACTAAGGAGAAAATAAACAAATGGGACTACATCAAAATAAAAAGTTTCTTCCCAGCAAAAGAAACCATGAACAAAACAACAAGAAAGCCCACTGCATGGGAGAATATATTTGCAAATGTTATCACTGATAAAGATTTAATCTCCAACATTTACAGGGAACTCATACAACTTAGCAAAAGGAAGATAAAGAATCCAATCAAAAAATGGGCAAAGGACCTAAATAGACACTTTTCAAAAGAGGACATAGAGAAGGCCAAGAGACATATGAAAACATGCTCAAAGACACTAATCATTTGAGAGATGCAAATCAAAACAACGAGGTACCATCTCACACCTGTCAGGCTGGCTATCATCAATAAATCAACAAAGGACAAGTGCTGGAGAGGATGTGGAGAAAAAGGAACCCTCTTTCACTGCTGGTGGGAATGCAGACTGGTGCAGTCACTGTAGAAAACAGTATGACATTTCCTCAAAAAATTAAAAATGGAACTTCCATTTGACCCAGTAATCCCACTTCTAGGAATATATCCCAAGAAAACAGAAAAACCAATCAGAAAGGATATATCCACCCCTGTGTTCATAACAGCACCATTTACAAAAGCTAAGATTTGGAAACAGCCTAAGTGCCCATCAGCAGATGAGTGGATTAGAAAGCTGTGGTGCATCTACACAATGGAATGCTACACTGCTATAAAAAATAAGGAATTCTTACCATTTGCAACAGCATGGATGGACCTGGAGAACATAATGCTAAGCAAAATAAGCCAGTCAGAGAAACAGAAATATCACATGATATCACTCCGATGTGGGATATAATGAACATGAACTGATGAACAAAAATAGAACCAGAGACATAGAAGCATGGAACATACTGTACAACCTATGAGGAAACACAGGGGGTGTGAGGGTAAGAGATCAACCAAAGGACTTGTATGCATGCATATGAGCATAACCAATGGACACAGTGGGGGGGGGCAGGGCATGTGTTGGGGGGTAGGGGCAGCCGGGGAGAAGTCAGTGGGGGGGAAAGGAGACTTATGTAATACTTTAAACAATAAAGAATTTAAATAAAAATAAATAAAATTTAAAAAAGAAAGTCCTTTCTTCCTGATGATGCTGAGACAGCATTTGAGTAAGACAGGAACTGAGCTTCAGCCCAGGAGGAGAGGGATAGCACAGGGAATTCAGAGTTTGAGTTTCAGTCTGAGTAACTGAGAAAATCACTGAAGTGTCTGATGGCCTATTAGTGATCAGGCTATCTTTACTCTATCAGGATGTTGGGAGCCTCAGATAATTTTAAGTCCAGTTTATAGGAAATTTTTAAAAAGCTACAATTTTATAAACTTGAGTCTGTGCCTATGAAATTCATTGTGTATGAACCATAATTGCTAGAACACACAAAGGCATTTATTGTCTTCTTTATTGACAGGTATATTGATAAACACCCCTCCATTATCTGATTTGATTGTCCATGTGAGGCAGGTAAGGCAGGTATTATAGTTCCCATTTTACAGATGATGAAACTGAGGCTTGGAGAGATAAAGGACTATTGCCAAAGTCACAGGATTTGTGAGTGGCCATACAAAACTACACCCAAGACTTAGGACTTCTCTTTCAGTCCTTCCTCTATACCAGAACTTCTTCCAAGGATAGGCACAGAAGTTCTTGCCATTCCCTTCAGAGTCTGTTTTAGTGCATATCTTCCAGGTTATATAAACCAAGTTATATAATCTAATAAATCCTTTGGGTTAATGTGCTACCAGTTCCTCTTATTAATTGTAGTGAAATAGGATGTTCCTGCATACCTGCATGCTTTTGGGAGGGGACAATTCAAAAATAATTTTGAATCATTGGCTTTTCAGCATTTGTCAAAATTCTGGATAATGTAGCAGCAAAAAGCATCAATTCACTGTATAAGCCTGAGCAAGTTTCCTCCCTTCCCCTTGTAAAATGAGGATAACATCTATTTTGTAGGGAGGCTAAGAAATTTAAACGGGGCCATTTGTATAAAGTACCCAGCCCTCTGATCTTCCTGTTGTAAGTGCACAACACAAGGTGGGTACCATCACCAACACAAGCAGAACCCCAGGCAAAACTGGGAGAGATAGGTACCAAAGCAGGGCTTGGGAGAGTTAACTGGCTAGGTATAATGGAGAGTTTTACCTCAAAAAAGAGATTGTTCTGGAAAAATCTGTTATTGTCTCCTAAGAAAGTTATCAGTGAGGACTGGGAGCTCTACGTCCTTAGAGTTACCCTTTTCAAGTAGTGGTTACAAGTCTGCTTACACAGTGAATCCACCAGGTCAGAGAGCACAGGGATACCCACCAAGAAATAAAGAACCTGGATACTGACAGCCAGGCCAGTGAGTTTGGAAAATAGTTTGAGTAAAGCAAAGAGTGACCTTCCAAGGAGATACACAGAGAAATGGGTCACTTTCAGAACTTCAGTTAAGATTTCATCCTTGTCACATTCTGGTTCATGGCAGAGACACAACAAATAATTGTTGACGCAACTAGTGAATTATAAGGACACTTCACACTGACCATCAGCAGGTAAAACCTTGATTAGGTTCACAAGTAGAATGGAAGACTGGGCCAGCTCTGCCAATTTTCTTTAGCTAAATGGAACCATGCCCCGAGAAAGAATTGACTTAGAAAAATGTAAACTATTACTATGCTTTTTATGTTGCAACTTTTCAGGTGAATTAAGTCTACCAGCTATCATGATTTCAGTATCGGAGTTTGGATGATGTGGGGCCAAATGCATGATAGTGCCCTCCTATCAAAATATCCTTTGCAGAATAAATTAGCTTTTTGGATCAAATATTTTGCTGTCAATTTACATTTGTGCTTCTTCTGCAGGTCTTTGAATGTTAAGCATCTTTTGCTGTGGAAGGAAAAGTATGCCTGCTAAAGGGCTTTCTGACGTCAAGGAGCTGGTTGGGAAGGTTTTTGTAAGGAGCAAGGAATGCTGTGGAGTTTGGGAGGATAGGCTATAGTTGTGTACTATACCCCCATTACAGCTGGGGCTGGTCAGCACCCCTGTGATATTCTCTAGGTCCTAGCAACCCTATATACTGCCCATGGATCTTTCTATCACCAGCTTTGGTTGGAGAAGACAATGCATCTGCCTTTGAACTGGTTAGTGGGATAAGAATAACCAAGTAGAATATAATCAGAAGGGGCTGATTCCTCTATACCAGGCTCAGAATTTCTGAGTGTCCTTAGCAGAGCACGGTGACTGTCCTGTGATCTGCTCAGTTCTGTTCACCCTTCAGCCCAGGGACCACACTTTGAGAACAAGCGCCCTAATAGACTCTACAACTGACTCTTTTCCAATAGCTTTTGAGGGAGGGCCAGACAGCTGTAAGTCCTTTCCCTGCACCTGTAGAAGTGATGGGGAGGATAATGTAAAGGAGGATGACTCACAAGCTTGCTCCACCCCTCTCTCTTTCCCATAGAAGCTCCTGAGTTACCCCTGACAGAGGAGACCCTGGGCTGTGTGGACCTTTGGTCTTCCCTGCAAGCATCTCAGATAATTTTCAGGTCTGTCCTTGCCCAAAAGCAGTCATGACTGCAGCATCCCCAGAGTGCTTTCATGTTTCAAGTCTTGATCCCTAATGCCCCTTTCCACCCTCCTCTCACCCAAATCGCCTTTCCCTTCTCAGATCCCTGATCTCTGCCTTTCCCTGTCTGCTGCCAGTTGCTTCCTGGAGCCCTGGTACAGGATGGATGGGCCTTCATAATAACCCTGGTAGGGAGCTGTGGGGCCACGGCCTCCCTTTTGAGGCTGGTGTGCCTTTGATTTCTTGACAGATTAGCAGCACACAGAAGCAAAACCCGTGTAAAAAGCTGAAGTGAAACGCCCAGCTCTCCACATGACACATGCCTGTACTACACTGTGACTGACAGGTAAGGGGGAAAGCTATTTGCAGTGCCCAGCAAGCTAGATGCTTGTTCTGAAGAGCCAGCACAGCCTAAAAATACCACAAAGGGTAGGAGGGAGAGAAAGGAAACTTTAGCATGGAATAATATCAAAAATTAAAAATAGAAAGGCTTTTGGTAAATGAGAGTCACCAGTTGCTGTTTTGCTCACCACCTGCAGGGCTTTTAGGATTCCCAGCAGACAGCCAGTAGCAGGCATGACAGAAAACAGTGAAATTATTTCTGGGAATGGAGTCAGGCCACCAATAGATGGAAGGCGGAAGCAAGTGTAGACAGACGAAAGTGTCATGTAGTGGGCTGAACTGATTGAGATTGACAATAACCCAGCCTGGCAATTAATGAGATCCAATAGATGTGGGGTTTGCCTCCAATTTGATGAACCACTTTGTCAGGCTTGTTTAACCTTGGTCTCAAATCAGTGAGATTGTAGAGTTTGCATCCTCCTCCTTCCCCAAATCTCCTATCCCCTCCCCCAGCCTACCACCATAGCCTCTTCATTTATTTTAAGCTCTGGAAGATAAATGATTTGGTTGAGCTTCATTCTTATTGTCTTTCTTAGAAAATGTCTGCATTAGCCAGGTAAATAAATGTCCTCCCCATGAATGAGTTGCCCTAATCAAGGAACTCATATTGAATAAACCTGGCCCAGCACTGGCAAGATCTTTGGGGGAGGGAAGCTGTGGGCTGTTAGCAGAGTTCAGAAGGTTTACCTTATACCTCTGTCCAGAATTATGCAGAGGAGAAAACTGATTTATTTTCCTGTTCTCCTATAACAGATGTAGTACACAGGACCCTCAATAAATATTTGCTGATTTTCAAATAAATGAGTGATGGGCTGGGCTGGCATTCATTTAAAACTGTGGGATTTAGTATCAAAGCTGTTGTACTTGACTGGAGTTCTTTTAGTGAGGGGTGTGATGAACCTTAGGGTTCTCTAAGAACTGGTTGGTTATCAACCCAATAGTGCCATGTCACCCCCCACCCCCCACAACTGCATGCCAGGAGTCAGGGCCAGTTTTATCCAGAGAGACATGTGTCTGGGCCACTGTGTCAGAAATGCCACATACCTGAGCATGACCTTAAGCTAACCCTAGAGTCAAGCCCCATTCTACTCAGCCATGAGAGCTGTTATCAAGTCTGTATGCCTTTAAAAACCCCTCCTCCCATAGGTGAATTGGGTTGGGTTGCTAAGTATTATAGGTTGCTGAATTTCCATGGTACACTGAGAATTTCAGAAGACTCTATATTATAGATATTCTTATGCTGTAAAATATATCACATAAGGTGCATCAGAAACCACTAGGAGTATACAGAGGTATTTAGATAAACAGATTCCAGATAATCTGGGCAAAAAAAGACTCTTGGGAAGTTGACCTTGGAGATGATAAAAGACTTGGGAGAAATTCTAGAGTCCTTTGAACAGCTTTGTTGATGGGGATTCAGAAAGATATCTTGGGTATAGGTTTTTATTTTATTTTATTGATTGATTGATTGATTGGTTATCTAAAGTTTACATATGTCTCCATTTTCCCCAATTGACCCCCCCCCCAAGCCATTCCAACCCCAGGCAAGCACCCACCACCCCAGTGTCTGTGTCCATTGGTTATGCTAATATGCATGCATACAAGTCCTTTGGTTGCTCTCTAACCACCCCCCCCCCGCCATTTGTTTCTGGATCTATTATTGTTCATCAAATTATGTTGATCATTATATCCCACATATGAGTGATATCATGTGATATTTATCTTTCTCTGACTGGCTTATTTCGCTTAGCATAATGCTCTCCAGTTCCATCCATGCTGTTGCAAATGGTAAAAGTTCCTTCTTTTTTTATAGCGGCATAGTATTCCATTGTGTAGATGTACCACAGTTTTTTACTCTACTTGTCTGCTGATGTATGCTTTGCATGGTGCCAAGTACTTTATATACATGAGCATATCTGATTCTTAAAATGTACTTTTGAGGTGGGTAGTGAAAGCTAGATTTGTTTCCAGATCTTAGCTATTGTAAATTGTGCTTCTATGAACATAGGGATGCATATGTCCTTTCTGCTTGGTTTTTCTGGTTTCTTGGGATATATTCCTAGAAGTGGGATTACTGGGTCAAATGGGACTTCCATTTTTAATTTTTGAGGAAACTCCATACTGTCTTCCACAGTGGCTGCACCAGTCTGCATTCCCACCAGCAGTACACGAGGGTTTGTTTTTCTCCACATCCTCTCCAGCACTTGTCGTTTGTTGATTTGTTGAAGATAGCCATTCTGACAAGTGTGAGATGGTATCTCATTGTTGTTTTGATTTGCATCTCTCAGATGATTAGTGACTTTGAGCATGTTTTCATATGTCTCTTGGCTTGGGTATAGGTTTTTTAAAGCTACACCTAAGACTAGGAAGCATATAACTCAATATATTTAATAGCTAAGGTTTAGAGAAATTAAGTGACTTTCTCAGAGATCATCAGTAGTTTCAGGCCTCAGTGTTAAAATTAGCAATATGGGCTTAAAATGGAAGATAATTTTATAGGTTTTTCCATGGTACCACATTGCAATTCCTTTTTATAACTGGGTATTCATGATTTCAAAAGCAGCAATGGGAGGAAGATTAGGGAAGAGAATGTTATTGAGCATTTCTTTTGTATGCTTTGCATGGTGCCAAGTACTTTATATACATGAGCATATCTAATTCTTAAAATGTACTTTTGAGGTGGGTAGTGAAAGCTAGATTTTTTTAACTAAAGGAAACCAAGATTCAAAGAGATGGCTAAACCAGCACACTGATTTTTGGCATATAGACTAAAGACCATACTTAGTCTACATTACCACACATCAGACTGCCAACCAGATTAGCTCAGAGGCCTAATTTGCTCTGGTCAACTGCCAAAATACAAGGTCACACTAAGTTATGAGAAGGGAGGTGTCACCATGGACTTGATACATGATAGAAGAGTGCACATTCCTTCTTTGATGACCAGTGAAGCCATAGCAAAATTATAAAAGTTACTATAATAGAAAATAGAAAATTTACTCTAATAAAGAATTACAAATTATAAAAACCTAACACATGAAAAAGTATTTGCCTTATCCTAAGTCCTTAGGTGCTGCTTCCATCCTTCTTAAATTTATCTGTTGAATGAGGACTATTTTCTTCAATATTAAAAGGGATCCTATAATATTTACAGAAAGGCTGAGTGACAAAAAAACTTTTTAAAATCTCAGAATGAAAAACAAGGACCAATAGGTGGAAATTAAAAGATGGAAGCTTTGCCCTCACTGGTTTGGCTCAATGGATAGAGCCTGCGTACTGAAGGGTCCCAGGTTCAATTCCAGTCATGGGCATGTACCTTGGTTGTGGGCACATCCCCAGTAGGGGGTGTGCAGGAGGCAACTGATCAATGATTCTCTCTCATCATTTGTTGTTTCTCTCTCTCTCCCTCTCCCTTCCTCTCTGAAATCAAATATATATATTAAAAGATGTCAGCTTCAAGCTAACAGGAAGAACTTTTAGGCAAATGGGTCTGTGTGACTATGAGATGGGTTGCTTCAGAATGAGCTAAGTTCTCTCCCTTGGACATGCTTAAGCAGAAGTTTGAAAATACTTTGGGGATTTTCCATAGGACAAATATTAGATTGGATGATCTCCAAGGGCCTTTAAGGATCTAGGATCTAAGAGTGCATGACATGTGACACCAACAGTGAGAGGATCAGTAGCTAACTGGACCCACTGACTTTTCTAACCTGTCATTGTGCAAACTTCTGCTTAGTTTGCTCATCATCACCATCAATACTAATCACTGATCAAAGCTGTACTGAACTTTAATCTATTTTCAATTAGAAACAGATTTTGCTCTTATCCGAGCCAACTCTGCTCTACTATTCAGTGCCAACTTGGGGGATGGGGCCCAAGTCAAATGAGTATGTATGATTCTGCTTGAGTCATGGAAGATTTAAAGGGAAGAGTAGATGGAAGCCACAAGGAGGCAGGACTGTCCAAATCCTTTGGAGGAAGTAGCTTCTTCTTACTGAAGGTGGCCTCATTCAGGTCAGCTGTGACTAGAGCCAGGATAGGAGTCAGATATTATTTAGGAGACCAGATCATTGCCTCTTTAAGGTCCCTTCTAATCAAAGAATCTTTGGAATTTTTGTTTGTTTTGTTAATCCTCACCCAAAAAATATTTTTCCCATTGAGTTTTAGAGAGAGTGGAGTGGAACAGACCTAGAGAAAAATCGATGTGAGAGAAACACATCAATTGGTTGTCTCCCACATGTCCTCTGACCCAGGGCTGGTATCCAGCCTGCAACAGAGGTATGTGCCCTTGACCTGGAATTGAACCTGAGACCCTGTGGTCCACAGACTGATGCTCTAACCACTGATCAACCAACCAAAGCATTCTCTGGTTTTTAATGAAGAACCATTTAGGAACCACTAATTATGAAAGATAATATGACATTATTTTTAAAATATATTTTTATTGATTTCAGAGAGGAAGAGAGAGGGAGAGAAAGATAGAAACATCATTGATGAGAGAGAATCATGGATCAGCTGCCTCCTGCATGCCCCACACTAGGGATGGAGCCTGCAACCCAGGCATGTGCCCTGACCAGGAATCAAACCACGACCTCCTGATTCATAGGTCAATGCTCAACCACTGAGCCACACTGACCAGCCAATCTGACCTTATTATATAGATTTTAAAATGTTCTGAATAAAATTTTGGTGCATAGACCTGGGTTTTACTTCCAGATCCAACACTAATTAACTGTGTGTAATCCATGTGTTTTTTTTAATCTTTGGGGGATTCAGTAGTCTCATGAATAAAAGGGTAGGTCATTCATTTATTCATTCAATGCCTACCATGTGTAAAGCACTGTGCTATGTGTGTGGGGAACAGATAAATCAGACTCTTATGGAGTTGAAAGACTCAACTGAGATGCTACATGTAAAGTTGCATCATGAAGAGAAAGAGCTACA